GTTTTGGCGCAGAACCTTCTTCAATTCGTCTTCTAGCTCTGGATTGTTTCATGAAACTTTTTCAAGTTAATTATTAGCTTCAAAATAAAGCTAACTCACTTCATTAGCGTTGCAGTCTAAGTTTTTTAGAATGTGGTTAAAGCGTTATGTTTGGGGTGTTTTAAAATATGTATTTCCAGCTGTTAGTACTTAGTGTTCTAAAAGACGTTGCGTGATGAAAATACATTTTTCTATGTGCCGATAGCCCTCATAGTGTTTGTTTAAGGTGTGATGATGCCAGTTTACGTTTGAACTTTATAAAATGAACTCATAATTAACTGATAAATATGTCTGGTTACAAGATAAATGTCGAACCCTGCTGATACGACAAAACGTTTTATAAAATTGATAACCAACAGAAGACACTCCCGTTCTCAAAACCAACAAATTCATCAGATAAAATCGAAAAAAGACGAAATAAAAATGTACTGCACTCCGTCACGCAAGCATGCTTCTAACATCAAACTATGTGTCAGTTTTAACATTGTTCGTAAATGGATAAAGTTTATATTTATCATTTTAGAAAGTCTAATGATTTATTTGTTTAAAAAAATATGTAAAAACTTGGCGGGTCGTTTACCAATTACTTACTCAGTAAGCGTTTACTGGATCACTTATCTTACCGAATGAACATGACAAAAATTGAGAATCTTACATGGTATAATAAAATTCAATTAATACAACTAGTCGGGTAATTATTATTTAGAAAAAAAAAACAATATTGTTTATAATAAAATTGAGAACAAAATCGAATCTGAATGTGTTGTTATTTTTAATGATTGTATGCTTTGATTCGAAAATGTGTGTGGGGACCGGAGATGGTTAGAAGTGATGAAACAAAAATGCCTCCTTTTTCACACTAGGTGCTTGTGTTTGAAATGCAAATCGACTTTTTTTTTTATATCCTATTTGATCATAGTCGTATGAGAATAAGAGTTAAGGTGAAAAATATAACAATGATTTTGATGTTATATATTTTTTTAATTTCAAACCAACTTATGAATTACATTTTAGATAGAATTGATTTTGTGCTTCTCATTAATGTTGATCCAGTGAAACTCTTTAATTAGGATCGATCCAAGGGTGAAGATTCTTTCTTATACTTCTCACTGAAACCCAACCATATATATATATATATATATATATATA